GAGTCGAGCTTTCAGCGCCTTGATTTCCAGCCCCTGGAACAAATCTTGTTCTCTCGAAGGAGGTGGCCAAGCGACCTGCGCGCTGATCGGGGTTCTGGTGGAGTGTTTAGATTGATAATCCGATGCTGGGGCGAAGGCCAGCCGTGTCATTCTGCTTCAGATGAGTTAGATCGGATCTGCTGCGACTCGATTGGCCGGGCTGAGTCCAGCTGTTCTTGGATTGCGGTATGTGCACTTGAGAGGGCGTCGAGGCGGGTGCTCATTCGTCTGAACTAATCGTCTTGTTGATCGAAACGCCTCATAAGCATACTTAGTACTCTCGCGAAGTTGACTTGTTCGTTAGTAACGAGCGCGAGCTCGTTATGTGACGGGTCGGACGCTGTTACCCTTGTTTCCTCGTTGGCGGTCACTGGAGGACTAACCGTGTCCATCGTGACCGCGGTGACAGGGATCGCTTGAATTGTTTCGATGGATTCCGGGATGACTGCTTCGCTGGTTTGCCGACTGGTTGATGCGTCCGGGATCATTTTTCCTTGCGTTTAGAAAATCTCCAAGCCCCCTACCTGGCGCACCAATTGTTTAACCCAGAAGGACTCAACACTGAATTTGTAGTAGATAAGAGGTCGGAGAATTTCGTGTATTAGAGTTTGAGCTCAAAATAAATGTTACAAATTAGACCGCAGCTGATAGTCCGAACAGATCCCGGGCTATCAGATTGCTATAGATCAGAAAGAGTGTAGTAGGCCGGACAGATCCCGGACTACTCGATTCGTTGCGAGCTAATAAAGGTATGTAAACCTTTTCGGTGTTTTCTGGTCGGTGGTGACCTCCCGGCGAGCTCTCTATCGGAGATAGAAACCTGAACGGTAATGCTTTGGATCCCTTGTACTTTTTTCAGAGGAATGGAAGATGAATGGTCACATCACGTTGTACTCCTATTTATAGTACAAGGTTGAGGGTACATCCTAAGTTTTATTAACTGTAGTTACCGAATGTGACTTACGTTTAACCAGACCGCGATTACTATTTGAGTTAGGCTTTACTGTTTGCGGCCTGCGAATTGTTTAGGCCGCAGAATCTAATGGGCCGCAGGTCTAGGCCCAACATCTCTCACAGATGATAGTCAATAAAGGGTTAGGATTGATGATCTTTACAAAATATATTTTCTCTACTTTCTAATTGGAAAGAGAGATAATTCATAAACTTGCTTTTGAATCAGTTTGGTGGGTTTCTGGTATCTGTGTTTAAAAAAGCGCGCCAATTATGCCCCAAGGCGCAAGGCGCATCAAGGGGTTGTCTTCATCGCCATGAGCTTGTATGTCGAGGCACTATACATGAAGCGAGGGCTTTATGTGCTAAGGCGACATTTGTATAGGCGCACAAAGCACGCCTTGGCGATGCGTTTGTTATTTTGATCAAAACACTGTGTTTTGATAAAAATCTTAGATTGGTTTAGTGATATTAAAGTTATCTTAAATGTATAATTCGAATTTAAGTCTAATAAAACCTAATTTGGGAAACGGAAAGACTCTTCTCTGCCTTCTTCTCTTTATAAACAGAGAGTCGCTGCCTGTTTCTCTCTTCTCCTCTCATATCCTCTCCTCTCTTGTCCTCTCATATTCTTCCTTGTCTCGTTCCTCTCATATTGTTCCTCTCATATTGTTCCTTGTATCTGATGGATGATCCTAGAGGAGTAGATCCTGGAAGAAAATATGGAACAAGCGTTGATAAGAGTAATAACTCATGGAAGTGTATTTTCTATATAAGAGTGACGAATGGAGGAGTTTCACGCCTCAAACAGCACTTGATTGGAGGTTTTAGGAATGCGAGAGCGTGTACGTTATGTCCAGAACATGTGCGAGAAGAGTTGCGGAGTTACATGATCAAAAAAGCAGAAGACAAAGCAGCTCGAATNATGCNAGAGATTCCTATAGAACNTGATGATTANGATGTTGACGAAGAGATGNAAGGGACGTCTAAGCGACCGACTCAATCTAAGAAGCGAAAAGTGAAAGGTCCATTAGACAGNTTTGTTACTTCACCTCCTCCGGATATATTGNAAGGAAGAAAGGATAGGAAANATATTTTTGGAGTGTGTGACAAAGAACTAAGAGATAAGGCTTGTGGAGGTATTGCTAGGTGGATGTATGATGCTGGAATTCCATTTAACTCCGTTACTTATGATATTTTTCCGGAGATGTGTGAATTGATTGGACAGTATGGTATGGGATTAAAACCACCTAGCATGCATGAATTAAGAGTCCTGTTGCTTAAGAAAGAAATAAACAACACTCTCACTCAACTCTCGGTCCATAAGAAAGAGTGGGCAACTAAAAGATGTTCAATTATATCAGATGGATGGCGTGATACGATATCTAAGAAAGATATAATTAATTTCTTAGTCAACTCTCCGAAAGGTTCGGTTTTCATCGTTTCGAAAGACGTTTCAGAAGTTGTGAAAGATGCNACATTGTTGTTTCAGTTGCTTGACGATATGGTTGAAGAAGTGGGAGAGGCAAATGTTGTTCAAGTTNTCACTGACAATGCATCTAACNATATTGCAGCTGGTAAGAAAAGATATATCTACTCTTTCTCTTTTCTTACTTTTCAAAGATAGAGAAGANTGAACATAACAATTTTTTTAAATATAATGTTTAGGAAAATTGCTCGAGGCGAAACGACCACATCTCTATTGGACTCCTTGTGCTGCACATTGCATCGATCTGATGTTGGAGGACATTGGAAGACTTGCTCCAGTGAGAAGTGCATTGAAGAAGTGCATTTTCATGAATGGATATATCTCCAATCATATTCCTCTTGTGAACATGATGTGGAAATTCACGGAAAAAAGAAATCTGCATAGGCCGGCGGTAACAAGGTTCCCTACGTCATTCATAACTATGGGACAATATCACAAACAGCAGAAGAACTTGAAGAAGTTGGTTAATTATGATGAATTCAACAAGTCTAAATGGCCAAAGGAAGTTGGTGGAAAGAAGGTGAAACAATATCTTTTGCAAGATAGCTTTTGGAGAAATGTTACTTATGCTCTTAAGTTGACGAGTCCTCTGGTAAAAGTGCTAAGGCTAGTTGACGGAGAAAGAAAACCACCTATGGGATACATTTACGCAGCCATGGACAGAGCTAAAGAGGCAATTTCAAAAAGTTTCAACATGAAACAAGAGAAATACGAGAAAGCATTTGAGATCATTGATAGAAAATGGGATTGTCAGCTTCATCGTCCTTTGCATGCAGCATGTTATTATCTCAATCCGGCGATCCATTACACATATCCGGATGATGTATACTGCGAAGAAGTGGAATTGGGTTTGTATGATTGCATTAGTAGGTTGGTTCCGGATACTGGTATCCAAGATAAGATAATGCTCTAGCTGGATGCATTTAAAAATGCAACTGGCCTCTTTGGTCATAACATGGATGTTAGGCACAGAGATATCAAATCACCAGGTAACAAAATTTCAATTTATCTCTTAACTCTAATTGATAATCTTGATGATAAATAACAACGTTGTTATTTTTCTAGCCGAATGGTGGTCGTGTTTTGGATCTTCAACTCCAAATCTAAGAAAATTTGCTGAGAAAGTTCTTAGTCTAACTTGTAGTGCAACTGGTTGTGAAANAAATTGGGGTGTTTTTGAGCTTGTAAGTCATCTTAACTACTTTCATTTACATCATCATATCACTTTAATAGATTATTATAGTAATAATCTTTACTTAANCAGCTTCATACGAAAAGAANAAATCGATTATGCCAAGATCGATTGAATGACATGGTTTTCGTGAAGTATAACCGAGCTCTGCAACGTCGGTACAAGAGAAGTGATACCATTGATCCTATTCTCTTGGAAGCGGTTGATGAAAGCAATGAGTAAAATGGATGGAACCTCTTCTGATGATGAACTTGATAATCTTGTGTTCGAAAATGATGACTTGACATTGAAAGCGGTGAGCCAAGCCATAGGTGCTGAAGAGCCTAGCTATTTTACTAGAGGAGCAAGCAGTTCAAGGGCTAGTAAAGCTGATAAAGGAAAGGGGATTGCTGGTAGTTCAACTCAACCAACTCAAGAAACTTCTGGTTTTAATGGTGAAGAGATGGAAGAGGATATAGGC